GTAAGGAGCATCAAATATTAATAATAAATAGGAGTTCTATAGGTGGATAGGATAGTGGTAAGGAGCATCAAATATTAATAATAAATAGGAGTTTTAAACAAGTTGAAGTGTGCTGGTTTGAAATGGAGTGTGATAGGTCATGACGCTGTTTTTTTAAATCTTTTCACTTGCTACTATGGCATCGTAATTAGCTTTCAGTGGGCCCTTTTTAATACACTGAAATGGAGCACCTTATTTCCACCCAGCATAGTACAAATGAAGGTGTATAAAAGTTTCCCGCGTTTTTGTATTTTGTGACGCGGTCGTGTGCAGATATTCTGTCAGACGCAGATTAACATTATAAAGGCATAAGGAATCTTAACGGATGCTATGCGTCTGGGCTTCCGGTGACTGTGTAAAATTTTTTCAATTCGTATGCACATTATAAGCTTTGATCGTAGTAAAGCATTTGAAGCTAATGCCTAAAAGATTTATCTGGAACATTCTGTATATACCTATAACTCAAAAAAAAAGATTTTCTCGAAAAATTATAAAATTGTAACTATACTGACACCATAGTATTCATATCTCAAGGTGGGTGTTGGCATTTACGTTGTAGATGTCTATGGGCTCCGGTAACTCTCAGCTGACTTAACACCAGGTAGGCTATGAGCTCGTCCACCCAACTATTCAATAAATAAATAAAAACCTCCAAAATCATTAGCGTATTTCTTTGTTTTTTTATCAAACCCGAATACTTAATACAATTGAAATCATCTAAAACACAACTCAAAGCTTACCGGATAACGAGGTAATGACAAAATTCGATTTGCCCATTCGAACATTGTTGGTACAATGCTCACGATAATTCTGTTAGTACTGTTCGTGACGTGATTGACACCCCCTTTGAACTGTTACGGACCGCAGAGCACGGAACCGACAGAGATGACGGAAATTTTTAATGACCAAACTAAATATAGATTTTTTTATATACGACGGAGAGACTGGTTCCATTGTGTTTATAAAATAATGACGTCAGTGTCGCTAACGTAATTCTATTCATCATTACCATTATTGCCTTCCATAGTGACTGTAATTAAGACTCACTATTCCAATTATTGCATTTCAAGTGTACAACGATATCAACAGAGAAGCTCCACCTCGGTCGGCTGCTCGAGTCGGAATGTTTTGTGTATGTGTGTGTTTTTTTTCAATTCTCTTGAATACCATCGTAAACAGTTGTTAACATACTTAATATTAAAGAAACAGTTAATTTTAACTAAATAGTGACCCTGCTATTTAGTTAACAAAGATTAGTTATAATTAACTGTTTCCTCAATGTTAAAATTGTTGGTTAAGGGTTATAAATCCAACGCAAGTCAACAATTTGTTTAAGACGGTATCTAGGAAATTTTATGAACAAACTACCCCCACTGTTCTACTGTAAATACGAGTTATTTTTGTTGCACAACGCATTGCAACTCTGACGCTGACGTCATCATTTTAAAAAACACCATGAAACATTCCTCTTCGTCATATATTATTGCTCGAACTATTTTAATTTTTTTTTATTGCTTAGGTGTGTGGACGAGCTCACAGCCCACCTGGTGTTAAGTGGTTACTGGAGCCCATAGACATCTACAACGTAAATGCGCCACACACCTTGAGATATAGTTCTAAGGTCTCAGTATAGTCACAAAGGCTGCCCCACCCTTCAAACCGAAACGCATTACTGCTTCACGGCAGGAATAAGCAGGGCGGTGGTACCTACCCGTGCGGACTCACAAGTGGTCCTACCACCAGTAATTACGCAAATTATAATTTGGCGGGTTTGATTTTTATTGCACGATGTTATTCCTTCACTGTGGAAGGCAATCGTGAACATTTGTTGAGTACGTATTTCGTTAGAAAAATTGGTACCCGCCTGCGGGATTCGAACACCGTTGCATCGCTCGATACGAATGCACCGGACGTCTTATCCTTTAGGCCACGACGACTTCTTAAAACTTAACTTAACTTAACTTAAACTATCTTTACTGCGACCATTTCGACATTTCAGTTGAAGATTCTAGAGCCTAAGTTCACGTTTTGTAGATATTTTCATAGACACAAAACTGTATTCTACTCGACCAAACAAAAAAAATATATTTATATAAACAGGTAACGAATTTATAATTATTTTATGACAATTCCGAATGTTCTTAGTCCTGTGGCATTTCGATTTCCATTGACTGCGCTCGACACTAATGTAGGTAAGTAAATAAACGCAATAACGGGGATAGTGTCTTTTGTTCCGCAATTAACTGCAACTCGATTTCGTTGGTGGCCCGTTGAAGGGATGTTTGTTAATGTACATTAAGAACTTGACGATTCTGGAATTTTCTCAAGTCGTTTTCAGTTCAAAATCTATACATATATATAAATGAATTGCTGTTCGTTAGTACTTTTTTTATTTTTTTTTATTGCTTAGATGTGCGGACGAGCTCACAGCCCACCTGGTGTTAAGTGGTTACTGTAGCCCATAGACATCTACGGCGTAAATGCGCCACACACCTTGAGATATAGTTCTAAGGTCTCAGTATAGTCACATCGGCTACCCCACCCTTCAAACCGAAACGCATTACTGCTTCACGGCAGAAATAGGCGGGGCGGTGGTACCCGTGCGGACTCACAAGAGGTCCTACCACCAGTAAAAAGTAGTCTCGCTAAAACTCGAGAGCGGCTGGACTGATTTGGCTAATTTTGGTCTTGAATTATTTGTGGAAGTCCAGAGAAGGTTTAAAAGGTAGATAAATATGAAAATGCTCGAAATTAAATAAAAATTACATGTTTGTTTTTCCTTCGATGTGTCCCCCGTCGGACGGATTCCTTTTGTTTGTTTTAAGTTTATTTTATACAAAAGCTCAGGTCTTTTATTTATCGATTGCGGCACTACGAAGTCTGGCGGGTCAGCTATTATTATTAAAAAAAAAAAACATTTGTTTGTGTTATTATTTTTTCCCTGCCTATGCTGATAGCTTTGAGAGGCTATATCAGCGTTATCCTAGCATATAGGTGAGCTCTTAGGCCTCAAACCGGAGGTGTTGCTAACATTGGCCCTGGCTAGAGCCTTACTTCGCAGAATCTACCTCCGCATCGGAAACGCGATCCACTGAGAAGATCCAGCGAGAAACTCAGTGGGCCTTGTTTGTATAATAATAGGTCTTTGAAAGAGAACTTGCTCTTTTAATAATCGAATTCGGATTGTTGAACCGTTTTAAACTATACCTGTTTTTTTGCTCGTGGATGAACCACAGCCCAGGGATACCAACAACGTAAATTCAGCCACCAGGCTTAAGACATGAGTTCTAAGTTTCAATTTTAACAGTACAACGGCTGCTTCTTTCAAACCGAAATGCATTACTGCTTCGCGGCAGAAATAGGCAAGGCGGTGGTACCTACCCGTGCGGACTCTAAAGAGGTCCTACCACTAGTAAAGACGAAGCTTATGTCATATTTATAAAACATTGTTTGATATTGATGTTTTCTTTGGTTTTATTATCAAGTTGACGGGAATATAATGCTTAGAGAATTTAGCTGAGATTAATTTAAAAAAAAATGGTGCGTGTGCAACCTGATGCTCGTGAAAGAAGTGAAACTTCTTTTGCGGTGTTTAGTATTGTGGTTTTTTTTTCATTTTTCATCCTCAAATCTAATTTTTCTTGTAATAGGGAATGTTGTGTATAATGAGAAACGGCCTAGCTCGCTTTCTCCCTCTCTTCACGGTCAAGTGGTTCGCGAGACGCTCTATCTATTTTCTCACTCTCGCTCGTCCTAAATTGTGTCATTTCTCACTCAGCCGTAACGAATCTGTTACGAGTTAAATTTAACACCTAACGCGCCTAAAGAAGTTGCACTTCATAAACTAAACTACCTTGTGATGTATTACGGATAATTATTAAAATTTATAGTTTGATATGTATGATATACGGTTATTTCTTGAATTTTAAAAGCAAACTTTCAACTTGAAAGATACGTATGTGTTGGTCTTTGAATTCTATGATATCACCTAATACTATAATAGTTCTAATACTATAATAGTTCTAATACTACCTAGTGTAAAAATCTGTTGTATCGAATTGCTGGCCATCTGTCATAAGTCATTAGCACTAAAGTCTAAGCCATTGCAGAAACACTAATAACAGTAAAAGGTAAATCAGATGAACGAATTGCAATATTTTATTACACAAACCCAAATAGTCACACAAATTTAATATATTAGATCGGATTCATCGAAAAGTGAACTTATACATCAATAAATCACGTCAATGGATATAAATACGTTAACAAAATATTATATCTATTAAAATTCCTCAACACTTAAATAAATCGAATCACCCCTAGTATTTCATTTTATCGTCTGGTACCAATCACTTAATTGACTTGCCACATTATCCCTAATCTCTGGCCGCGTAATTCTTGCTATAGTCAACGATCTTAAAACTTAGAAGTTAAAGTTGAGAATGGCTTGGAGCGACTTCATAAAAACGTTCAGCGTAGGGGTGTCACGGCCCCTTATACTGTGAAAGTGGAAACGTATTAGGACGAAAGGTTACGATTTGAAATGGTCATTTTATTAATTGTGTATTTATTTGAGATGTTTAGTTTGAATCTCGATCTGAGTCACTAGAACTGTTACGCAATTCTCGACTTTATTTCTGGATATAGCAGCTGTGTTACTATACCATTGTTTTTTTTTTTTTTCTAATTAAAAACACGTTTGGCACTCGGGGACTACCGCGGTAAAGGTATTACATAGCATTTTTTATCAACTTATGCAATTATAATTAGACACTAACACAAGTGCAACGTGTGAATGAATGTGTTGAATGCGAGCTGCATTGTAGGCGGAGCGGGGATGTTAGGTTTTATTTTCGTTACGGAATTTCTTGATTTGGTCGCTGCGCTTAAAGCCCGCGATAAAAGCTATGCAATAGCTTAAAAATGTAGATATTAGAATATTTTTGCGATCGATTTTCATTATGAAGGAACAACTCCGAAGGCGCGAAAGTAAGAAATTATCGTATTTCTCTTGATTAATAGGGTCCAGTTTGAAGGGTTAGAAGGGAATTGAGACTGTCTAGAGGACAAAGAAAGAAAAGTAGAAGTAAAAAAATGTAATCTAAGTATTGTTGTCCACAGAAGAGAACCAGTCACCGTTGCGTTGGTCGCCGCCATCTTCTGCAGCTCTGGTGGCTGCAGCACTCGCGCCCCCGACCCTACGACCTTGGCTACCAGAGCCTCCCACGAAGAAGTCCAACCATTTGGGTAAGACAGGTTCGCATCTGATACCTCAAGATCCCGTTCAATGATTCTGAATGGTCCGCTTGAGACGCTTGCAAAATCGCGGGAAATTTAAATTTGGAATACAACTAAATTATTTTTATCTTGAAAACATGTTTTTTTTTATTGCTTGGATGGGTGAACGAGCTCACAGCCCACCTGGTGTTAAGTGGTTACTGGAGCGCATAGACATCTACAGCGTAAGTGCGTCATAGTTACAACGGCTGCCCCACCCTTCAAACCGAAACACATTAAAGCTTCACGGCAGAAATAGGCAGGGTGGTGGTACCTACCCGTGTGGACTCACAGGAGCTCCTACCACCGGTAATATAAAATGGCGTAGGTGCGTAAAATATAGGTATGTACATTTGAGTTTTTAAAAAGAACAGAATTTCGATTTAAATTTTCGCGTCACATTTCGCCATTTTGAAATTAGAATACCTCTTTAATGTACCTTTTGTGTACTCCATTACGTTTCATGGAAGTCAATCTTTCTACTTTTTAACTAATCATTTTTAGTCGTTCGTGATGCTAAATTGACCATTCTGAATTCAAATTCATATGTCAAGTATGTAATCGTAAAAAGTTTTTGCGTAATGTTCTATAAGGTTTAAATTGTACGAAGTTAGGCCATTTGTAATTTTCTCTATATTTTCGAAATTCGAAATTCATGAAAACGAATAAGCTCTTGAACGGTATAGCAATCCTTATTACAACAGAGAATTAATTCTACTTCATGACGTCATTTACATTTTCTTATTAGAATGCTCACTTGTTACGCCCGAATAGTAAGTAGTCATATATTTGGTACATCTTGTGTACGACTGTTACTTACTACTTACTTATCTCAGGTCTGATATGCGTTGTCTGCGGCGACACGAGCTCCGGGAAGCACTACGGGATCCTCGCCTGCAACGGCTGCAGTGGATTCTTCAAAAGATCCGTCAGGAGGAAACTTATTTACCGGTATGTGTTTGATAATCCGATTATTCAAGAAAGTATTTCTCGAGTTGACATACTGTTTCAACTTTTATTCTGTTGTGTTTCTTTACATTCAGTTGAATTAATTGTAGTCAGATTTGTTAAAATTTAAACTACTTTTACAATTCCATTTTACGCTAACGACTAACTCTGTGGTGCCGTGGTTAGCGGCCCTGACTGTTGGGCCGAGGGTCGATTCCCACGTCGAGAAAACATTCGTGTGATGAACAGATTTTGTTTGCTCTTTGTCAAGTTGTTTAGTATCTATGAATACATATGTAAGTATATATGTCACTCTTTAGTGCTCATAGCACAGGGAATCCGAATTTGGAGTCGGATGACTGTACGTGATTTCTTCCCAGTGATTGTTATTATCTTTTTCGCGTTTTTTACTATCGTTATATTATCAGCAATGTGCAATTGCGAATCCTTAATATGTTTGGACATATCATTCGTAATGAAAGGTCATTGGAACGTTTAGTGGTTCAAGGAAGAGTAGATGGTCAACGCTCTCGCGGCCGATCATCCACAAGGTGGACAGACTTGGTTAAGTTATCTACGAAGTGTTCCCTTACTGAGTGTACACGTACCGCCACAAATAGAGAGAGATGGAGAAGCCTCTCAAAAGCCGCAACCAAATATTAAGACTTACGTAACCACGACCACTCCGCCAGGAGTGAACGACTGAGAAGAAGAATATTATCAGCGATGTTTTGCCCGATCATCGTTCTCGTCGAACCCGTCGCTTGCGACGAAGGGCTCGACGAGTAAATTAACCCCCAGCCACAGCCTACTGAGTTTCTCGCCGGATCTTCTCAGTGGGTCGCGTTTCCGATCCGGTGGTAGATTTTACGAAGCACGGCTCTTGCTAGGGTTCATGTTAGCAACGTTGTCAGGTTTGAGCCCCGAGCTCACCTACTAGTTAAGGTTACGTTGAAATAGCCTCTCAAGGCTCTCAGCTTAGGTAGGATTAAAAAAAAAGATGTTTCGAATTCTTAACTGATCTCGTGATCTTGGACGAAAAAAAAGTGAGATTAAAATTATTGTAGCATTAGTATTAATTACGTCTTCGACTGGCAAACATCGAAGAGATTACTAATACATATTATTATTAAATTTCGATATTAAATTTCGAAATACTGGTGGTAGGGTTCAGTGTAGAAGCCCGCCCGGGTTGGTACCACCGTCCTGTCTATTTCTGCCGCAAAACAGTAATACTGTGTTCCGGTCTGAAGGACAGGATAGCCGGTGTAACATACATAAGGCTGCCCATCCAGGCCAGGATAGGCAGCGCATCTGAGTCACTGATGTAGTTTGGATGTCTATGGGCGACGGTTATCATTTCCCATCAGATNGCTATTATTATTAATTTATAGGAAGAAAAGTACCAGGGTATTATGATATCAAAGAGATGTATTATTAAAATGCTGTAATAATCTTAGTAGCAAAAAGGTAAAGTGAAATAATTGTATTATTTGTATTCATGTCTATGATAATAAAATCCTTTTGTTTAAACTTTATCTAATTTAACTTTATTTAACCAATTTCTAGAAAGTTGCATGTATATCATTTTTCGAAAAATAAGGCCATAAACAAGTTTCACTTCTTACGTGTGTACACTAGTACACGCACACATTTTTTGCTAATAAAACAAATATCGCACCGGATATCGTTACAAAGGTTTCACTCTTAAGCAGTTTTTGTGTGTCACATCTAGTGATTCAACACCAAGTCATCTGACTCAACTATTGTAGGGGTGATGTTAAGTTGNATTTCTGCCGCAAAACAGTAATACTGTGTTCCGGTCTGAAGGACAGGATAGCCGGTGTAACATACATAAGGCTGCCCATCCAGGCCAGGATAGGCAGCGCATCTGAGTCACTGATGTAGTTTGGATGTCTATGGGCGACGGTTATCATTTCCCATCAGATGAGCCGTAAGCTCGTCTGCCTATCGAAAGCAAAAAAAAAAAAATGATAGAGAAACGATCGATAATTCATTTATCGAATGTAAAATGTTTATAATTTTTTTTATAAGACATGACCTCTTTTCCAGCTGAAGTTCGTTTTAACAAAAAAAAAGAATCTATATCGAAAAAAAAAAAAAAAACAATTGATATTTGTGAAATATTGCACCACGTGTATTAAGAGACAATTACTAAAATTGAAACGCTCCTTCACAGGTCACGACCTTAATTAAAACCATTTTATATTTGACAACCGAAAACGGAAACCTTTAAAGCGTTTTACAATGAATAAAAAACTCACCCGACCGCACTGTTAAGTTTGTATTAAAATAGATCAAACCAACACAGCTATTTACACAGATGTAGAATCTTTCGTATAGGCCGCATGAATGAGTAACTTTTTTCTTCTTCATTTCAAACAAGTGAAATCTATGTTTCGTCACAATTTAAATATTGTGTTTCTATGAAATTATGTCAAAAGGTTTTCGGAATACGTTGCTCAATCTAGCTTTTCATTATAATTTATTCATGTTTAATGTTTTTGTGTGATGAGTGTTCAGGTGTTTTATATGAAAATGTTTTTTTTTTTAATGTGAACCAAATCTTGTGTTATAATATATATGTATATACAACGGCGCTAGCCACAAGGAATTTTTTAATATTCTTTTTTTTTTTCGTTGGTTAAGTGATTACTGGAGCCTATATACATCTACGACGTGAATGCGCCACCCACCTTGAGATATAAGTTCTAAGGTCTCAAGTATAGTTATTTATAAGTATAGTATTTGATATACGGCCTCAGCCAATAGAAACAATAATGGCGTTATTGGCCAACGATTGAGCTTTGAGCCTTGTTGCCCAATTAAGCTAATCAAAAGTGGTAGCTACCGTCATTTTGAATTTAGAAAATTCTACGCGGCTCGTCGCTAGGCAATCTTGCTTATATCTGCCGCCAAGCGGGCGTTCCTCATTGGAGGGTACAGAGAATGGTGACATTCAAGTTGTAATATCTCGCTTTGGTTTCTAATCAATACCAGGTAGACCGAGGGAAATGTCTGCCTACCTAACACAGTAAACCTTTTAAACAAGTGAAGGTAGAAGCCACTGAGTTACTTGCCCGATCTTCTCATTAGTCGCGATTCCGATCCGTTGGTAGATTCAGCGAAGCATTGTTCTTGCTGGGCCTAGTGTTAGCGAGTTCTCTCAGGTTGAACCTCCTGAGTTCACCTATTAGTCCGCGCGTAGTTGGGATAGCCCGTTAGGCTGCCTACGATTAAGTAGGCAAAAGGAGTAGGTTGAAATTAGTTGTCCGTAATTTCAATGCTTCGACAAACGCACACCGAATTGCAAATATAGTACTTAAAACTACTTTTTAAGACACTTTCATTATAATATAATAATTTGGTATGTATATTTATTTGTTTGTTTGTCACGGAATTTTTGAACGCTATGTTCACCAAGACGCCCGATTAACTTGAAAATAGCAAGAATTTTTATAACTTCGCTTTATTATCCTGACTGCTTAGTGCAAGTTTTTTAACTTCTCGTTCGCGTAAAAGTTACCTTATATTTGTATGGATTTGGAACAGCGTCCATACGTTTGCCGGTAGGGGAGCTGTAATCACACAGTATCGACAGGATAAAAAAATGTGAAATAAATTATATGTTCGATTTATTGGCCAATATAGTGCTTTATTTTGAAGTTTTAATTTACATATTTGGTTTAACTAGAGGTCCCGCAGTAGTCGAAATTCGACTATAATTAATTGGAATTGTAAGTTTGTACACTATTATGATTGTATTTTGTACTTCTATAATCACAAATTTGGCCAAAGCTACACTATAAAAAATATTAATAAAGACAAACAATATTTAATCTATTCTCAATTTCACCACAGACGTCAGGAACAAAAGTTTGACAATAAATAGTATGCATGCGTGTGTGCGTCAAATGCATGGTATGTAGTGTGTGTAATGTTTTCTTTATTGATTTAATGTATCTTTTATGCATTATTTAAAAAAAAAAAATTAGCATTGTGCACTTCTTCTCTATATTCTCTATAAGTGTGGAAAATGTCATACTCCTCCGTCCGCGCAATTTTCGTGAAAAGGGATACAAAGTTTTTGCTTCACGTATTATTTGGTTTAATTTTCGGTAAAGTATTCGACATTTCGGAAATATAAAACGCGAGATCGCACCGCAAAACATTATGTTTAATTATGTCCATGACTCGTGGAAAACGGTAGAAAATTCTGCAAATACAGTTATTGAAGTGAAACTTCTTTATCGGCGTTGGAAAAAAATTTACCGTCACATTTTTCGGTTACGCGTCACATTTTTCCGTTACGCGCCATCTTTTTCTTCACCATTCATTGTTGCCGTACACAAGTGAAGGTGCCTCTTTACTCGGTAACAATAATTATAAAATACCGATGATTTTAAGTGGAGATTTTAATGTAAATTTTGCATCGNAAGCTAGGGTCTCGCAACCCTCTCCCTCTCTTCGGGTTTCCGATAGACCAATAATATGCCAATTTATTGCGCTCAATTCTGTCTCCAGCTCTTCGAGATGTTCAGTTTTCAGCAATGTCCGTGTATTATACGCGCCAAGGTACAGTCGTTTATGGCAGCCGGATCGCACCGGGGGATTCTTAGCACCCCCTGCCCCACCGTTACCGTGGCCGCTGCCGTAACCAGGAATAGCGGGACTGCCCGGGACTGGGGGCCGTTCATTTTTTGCTTTGTCCATTGGAAGGGTTATGCCAGTAGTTACCACGCTTGGCAGGCGGGTTGGTGACCGCAGTACTATGTCCTTTCCTCAGGGCATGCTGCTGCCCATGTCCTGATTTTTTGTATTTACAGACATAGCTTATTATGGATGGTTATACCGCCATCGGTCGGTCGCCAGGGCCTCGTCTGTTAGCTAGCAGGGTGCACCACGAGCAGGTGAGGTTGGCTATTGAGTAGCTGTGATGCCATTGCTACCCCTTACACCCCGTTCACATATGCACCTTTATA